ACAAATATGCCCCACAACTTTTATCTGCGGGACTGCGATGGATGACTTCTTCGCATTGAATGTCCCCCCGGCGTGTTCCATACGTTGGAGCAATCGGTTGGTGTTTATCATATGTTCCCATACGAACTTCCGTATCCCCGGGTTTTCAGGGATGGTCTGATAAATCCCGTCCTCCAGGTAAAAATCTGTTCCTCCCTTAGCTGGTATGTCGTCCACGAAAGGCTGAGTTATATGCGGTATCTCATCTTGTAGGATGAACGTTACGTCTCCTTGCTGTATTTGTACAGCATTGGTGTAGCCTTGTGGCAGCCTTGTCAACCTCATGGTCCCCAGCGGACATTGGAAGGTCGTAAAGTCCCTGGACGAGGGATCCAACACGCGGTGATCAAACCCAACGTAGAGGTCGTACATCCCGTAAATGACCCGGCCGCCAAACGACTCCGCATATTCTTCCAATATTGGTGGGCATCCAGAGTCCCGGATCGTGACTGCATTTAATGGTTGGAGGTTATGCACGATCCGGAGAGCTCCTTGCTCCGCCTTGGGCACGCAGAACCAGCTGGACCGATACGAGGACGACGATGGTTCGTAAACCCCGGACGCTATTTTCTTTTTGATGATGTCCACGACTTGGTCTCTGATTCCCGGGGGTATGGGTATATTGCGCTCCTGCCAAGGGGTATGTGCGAGGATAGGGAACCGAACGGGTTCGAAATAGTCCTCTCTGAATTTCCCTCTTTCAGAATCGTCCCAAGCGAATGCCTTCTCGTGAATCCGTATGACATTCGCAACCAATTTTTCTTCTTCTCTCCATAAGAAGCCATCAGGGTTGATATTCATCCCTTCTAATCTTTCCTGCGTCACCCTTGCTCCTGGCGTGAAGTCCGGCGGGTTCGGGTTCAAGGCAGGCATCCCTTCCAGTGGATTTGACGGAAATCTCCGTACTATCCGGAATTCTTCTGGCAGAGATGCCGCCACCGAGTGCACCTTTTGTGCAGCGGGTTTATACTTCTTTTTCTTCTTTTTCGTAGGCTTTGCTTTAACTTTCGTATCTGCCTCCGTATCTCCGTTGTCTTTTTCTTCTGGGCTTTCCGTATCCGTTTTGACCGTGAAGGCCCGCGTTTCTTTATTGTAATGGTAGGCCTGTAGTAGGCAAAATTGTAGATACTGCATCGAAACTTCCCAGACTTGTTCAGTGTCGGTGATCTGAATAGCTCGGCAATGTTCCGTATTAGTTCCATCCGGCGCTGAGTATAATACAAGGGGTGGCGCTAGCCATTTATGATTCATGGAAGGGATCGAGTGATGGAAGAAGGAACGCGGCCATTCAGAAGTCGCGGTATTAGGTAAAGGTCGATAAGATGTCCGTATGCTGGGATTCAACAACGCGGTTTTCGTGTTTTTGGCGGAGCGCCTGCCTAAAGGCGCGGGCCCGCCCTGTGAAAACCCGATGCTAAGTTTCCCTGCTCCCGGAATGGGTTACGGCTTTTGTTGGTCTTTTTACGGGTAGGGATCGTAACTCTTCGTCCCGTGTTGGGGCAGGTTATGGTAATTTCCTGGCTCCCGTCCGTATTGTCCGTAGTTTTACAGCTGGTGAACCGGAAGAAGGGTCGTCCGATGAGCAGGTCGAATGGCGCTCCCTGTACTACGTGCACCTGGAGCGGAACTTCGATCCCGTTGAAGTTAAACTTCAAATCCTCGATCACTCCAACCGTTGAACTCGACTGCGAGTTCGCAGATTGCATGTTCAGGATTTTCTCCGGATCCAACCCTACTCCCAATTTGAGCCAGACGTCCCTGTTCATGGCCACTATCTCCGATCCTTGGTCCAGAATGCCTTCTATCTGGATGGTGTTGTGCACGATCGGGTCGACCACTCGTAACACGTCTATTTCGGAGGATGTGAGCATTTCCTCATGCGTAACTCCGTCGTTTTCCTCGTAGCGCAAGATGTACTGAGGCTCAGATGGTTGCCCAAATCCGGCGTCCGTGTACGCGACCTCAACATTCGGCAGCTTCTTCGATATGAGGAGGTCCTTCATATATTTTCGTCCGTCAGAGCAGACTGCGAAGAATTCCCGGGTGGATATCATGAATTTGTTATCCAGAGCACGGTCGACCATTTCCGCCGTGACCACCGAGTCTTCTATCGCGGCACGGTACTTTGGTACGAATAATTTAGGGCCCGTTGAATGGAGGCGGCGCGCTGGTAGGTGCAGAGGCCACGGGGTTTTGAGCAGCAGCGGGCGGCGCAGCAGGTGCTTTAGGTAACCTGCCCGCCGTTCCTTCTACTTCAGGTTGTGCAAACCCCACCTTACGTCTTCCGGTGGGTGGAGGACGCGGCGGCATCTGGACGCTGTCAAAGACCTCTCTCGGTTTCCCCTTTCCCTCGGCCTTTTTCCGTGTCTCCAGATAAATCTCGATTTCGTCGTTCGAGAGTTCCCGTAGGGCGATGTCGCCCGGTTCCTGGTACGCGTACGTCTCCGTACTCGTTATTTCCTCGACTTCGTCGGAATCTGATACAGTGGAGGCCATGTAGAGCATGTGAGGGGGGTGGTCTCGCTCATACATGTTCGCCGTGGCCAGGGGAGTTTCAGGACCCTGCATCTTATGCCATTTGTCGATTCGTTCAATAAAGTTTCGTCCCGTAATTGCACGGGGAAGGTAATATCCAGTGGGGAGTACTATCTTGTTTGCTTGATTCCTCTTGCACATACCTTTCTGGATGTACTCCTCAATTTTTGGGCACTCGCGCATGTAGTGCCCATCATTTGAGCAGAATCCACATTTACCTTCTTCAAACGCCCCGCCTGGCCCACGCGTCTGGTTGTCCGTTGGAACTTGTGCTTCCCGGAATGCCTGTCCCTGCGGCGCCAGCGGTTTCAGGCTTTTCCGTATTCCAGCGTCCCTGCTCCTGGTTACGGAGGTACGGACCCCGGTCCTGCTGCTGGTTCTGATACGCTGCGCGTGGCTCGGGTTGACGCTGGCGCGGAAATTCGACCTGTCTGGATAGCCCAGCCAATGCCGTCCGCATCTCACGCATTGAAGCCGTAATTTCCACCATTTCTTTCTTTATCACGGTAGTGTCTTCCTCCGTACTCTCGTAGAATTGACCAGGCGTCCCATCTATTGCCCATTCTGCGGCTTCGATGACGTCCTCAATCCCGTACGGGGTGTCGCTGGCTTGGCTGGGTTTGACAATTTGCAGACGTTGCAGGACCCGGAACCTAAAGTCCGCGTGTATTCCTCTCATGAATTGCTCGTCTCTTTCCCTCTCGGAGATCTTGTCTTTAGACTTTAGGAAGTCTGCGATCCTCGTGAAGTTACGTTGGTATTCCCCAAAGTCGTCTTTGTTGGACGGCGGTCTCTCCTGCCCTTTCCTCACAACCTCCCTGAGGTCTGACCATGCGTACAACTTATCCCCGTTGGATCCGGGATAAAGCTTCATAATTTCCTTTTTGAACGCGTCAAACGTCATGTTTGCCGTACGCTTCCGCTTCCATAGTTCTTCATCGTCAATGTCGAGATACCGGAGGGCAATATCAATCAATTCATCGTCGCTGGTTCTTTCCGTATCCTCCCCGGTTTCTCGTACATCGCGCAGATATCTTTCCAAGTGCCCTGGCTTTCCGTCAAACGACGGGGCGGATTTACTGCCGCGCATCGGCAGTGATTTTGGTGCCATAATGCGGGGAATGTGGGGGATCTGCGGTACGGGTTCCTGATCTGCTGATAGGCGATCCTGTGATGGTTCGGAGGATAGTGTGAGAGAAGAAGGTTCCGTAGGTGAATCGGTGGAGTATGGGACTGTGTCCTCGCTTTCTTCTTCGTCCGATAAAATCTCGGTTAAGTCCGAAAGTTCGGATTCCTGTAGGTCTACGGAGGTCGTACTCGAACTCGCTTCGGGTGCGTGTTCTACGAGATGAATTTCTTGTTGTAAGGAGCGATCTGGTTTACTCGTCCTCCGTTTTCGGGTAGGAGAGGGTAGCCGGACGGGTACGAGTGGGGGAGCCTGTCTGTCTTTGCGCTGGTGACGAGTCTCCAGCGATTAAAATTCCCCCTCGCGGTGGGTACCAGTTGTGATGTTCGCTGCGTTTTCTAAGTGCGCCGAGTGTGTGTGTCGGACGACCAGAAAGTGTTCAGCCGTACGGGGGGAATGTTGGCGTGGCTGTTATGAGACCTTTGCCCAGGAAAGGTAGGCGTAGAGGATGCGGGTGTGTGTGTGTGTGATATGGGAAATATGTGATGTTTCTCCGGTGCTTTTCCTTCCTCTGCCTCCCTCTACTTCTTTATGGTACTTTTTATGGGTCGCAACTCTCCTGCCAATGTGGCTGGGTACGGCGGGTCAAGGCTCGGGGGGAGGCGAATATTGTTACTACTTGGCGAAACTTCCGTGTAGCGTACGGGAAATCCGAGACGTGAGTCAAGGAGACCGCCTTTTTCTATACTATATAACTCTGGCCTAAGGGATGGCTTGCAAAGGACAAGTTAATGTCCAATATAGAGGATGGGATGAGCAGAGGGGGACAAGTCCTTATGGGAGGGGAACTTGTTGACCCGACTTTTGATGGGAAAAAGTAGATGTCATTGTCCTAATACCCCGCCCGTATTTATACTGTTTCCCCCTCCTGCACTGCCTCGTTCGCTTAGCTTTCCCGTACCCGTCACGACCCCTGCTGCATGTGCTACATCCCCAATACAGTCTCTTCCGTACCTAATTCTTCCCACACCTCCTTTCCCGTAAGTTCAAAGTTGTTCCCCTGCATTGCCTCCGGCGTTACTTGGTTCCTGGGTGGTACGGTAATTGTCATATGAGCATCGCCTCCGGTGTAACTTGGCTCCTGGGTGGTATGGGAATTGCTTCAGTCCTGACTTGTTGTTTGTTGGTTGGCCGTTGGGTACGGATAAGTGATATGGTAGTTCCCGTATGAGTACGGAGTTCTTTTCCCTTACGTCCTGCGCGTACGTAGTGTCTTCTGTATTATTCTTTTCTTGACGATCCCTGCCTAGCTCAACTGGAAAGAGCGCCAGACATTTAATCTGGAGGTTGCGAGTTCAAACCTCGCGGTGGGTAATGTTACTTTTTACTGATAAGGTCGCCGGTGGTTTAGTGCGCATTCTTGGTATGGTGATTTTTGTGCAGTGGTGGTATGGGTGTTTCTTGCCTCCGCGGGAGCGATCACAAAGTGATAGCTCACAGCGCGTCGCATCGTCTGCGCTATTGTCAGTACGCGACTATTTCTGAGACGATGGAACGTACCGGTGGATTGCTTCTTCTTGGCGCGGCCCTCCTCCTGGTTGTTCTCGCTCTTGCGCTTCCTCGCTACAACGAAAAAGTAAGTCATTGAAACGTACTCGACGCGCCCGGATAACGTACAAGGCGCGTCAACGACGTTCTGCGTCTGCGAGGCCGAAGTGGACTTGGACTTGGAGTCTGGAGAGGTGGTGAGTATCGAGTATCGAAGCGAGAGAGAAGACGTGCTGGCTGGAGTTCGCTTTTTCCTGTCGGCCATGGTGGTTGAGGTTCAAGAGTGGGTTGTTTGTGTTCAACGATTTTGTTTTGAACCTCACGTGTCTGTTCGATCCGCTCGTGACATCCCGTTGCAGCAACGTTTCGGGCAGGATCGACACACCACTCGACACCACTTTGGCCCAACGTTAGCTCAGCCAGCCCCAAGCTCGTGAACCAGCAAACTCACGCCATCTGCGAAATTTCCCGGCCACTACATCTTTTTCAAAGTCGGGAGGAGGAAAACGGACTGCTGAGCGACAAGGGAGGGCCGGCGAGGGCAGGATGCTGGAAAACTACTAGAGCTAGTCGCCCCGGCAGTCTGTGGTGGTGGTGGTAGGAAGCAAGAGGTGGCCGTTGACGTCGGAAGAATCTTACGCCGACTGTGTCATCATCACGCAATTCAATTGAAGGCTAGACTTGGCGACTGAGTCAACTGACCGTGACTGCGGTGGCTGTCCGCTCCCTGCTTTATCCCATCTCCATCTCCAGGACTTGCTTGGTGCGCTTGCGCCTCGCAGATCCCTGCTCCAGCCCGTCTAACTTGCTTGGCGCGTACTTGCGCCTCGTGAGCCGTACCTGTAATATATAGGCTAAACGGCGTGGAGCCAGCCAGGGGCACCCTTTGGCTACAACCCTGGAGCTAGCCACCCCCTGGCTCCATTCACCTGTTTTCCGCCCTTTTTTGGGGGGGGGCGATTTGGGGGTTTGGGGCGGCCCGGGTGCCCGTGGAATGGTCGTATTTGTGCGCGCGCGGCCCAAAAACATTTCTACATTTCTGCCTTTTTATTGATTTCTACTTTCGTGATGGTCCCAACATCATTCCCCATTGGCATCCTTCCCCATTCGGCCTACGATTTCACCCGACCTCCGTTTGGCCCCGTACCGCGGCGTATTCCCGGCTCGCCCGCTGCGCCTCCTCCCGCCTGATCCGCTGATGCGCTACATCCTTTCGGTTCCCACCCCCGCATTTCCTGTTGACACGTACTTGAGTACAGATGTATAAAGGAGGACAAATAGGCCATTTTGTGCGCCGCAGGGCCCTCCAGCGCCCTCGGTGCGCCGCCGCTGGCCCCTTTCTGGTCTGTACATCAATTTGGAATGGCTGTTTACACGTGTTAGATCCCCATCAACCCTCTCCTCTCCTCTGTGTTTGTCCGTTCTCCTCTGCAGTCTGCAATCCAGTCGCTGTTGCTTCACTCTCGCCTCTGAGCTCCCATAAATCTCGTGCCTCGGCCCGCTATCACCCTCGTGGTCGGCCCTGCCCACCCGCGCCGCTCCACCGCTTGGCGGTACTCGTTCTCGGCTTCATCCGTTGCCCGCCTCCTGCGCGCTCGTTACCGCGTTGCCCGTTGGGTGCCCGTTGCCCGCCTCCTGTGCGCTCGTTACCGCGCTGCCCGCCCGCGCCTCGCTCGTTCCCGCGCTCGTTCCCGCGCTGTCCGCCCGCCCTTCGCTCGTTACCCCCTGACTACGCGCTGGCTACCTGCACGCAGCGCGCTCGTTACCTGTATCGGCTACGTTCTGCGCGATGCGTCCTGCGCCCTCTTTCGCGCCTTGCCCGCCTCCTGCCCGCTCGTTACCGCCCTGCCCGCCTTCTGCGCGCTCCTTGCACACCTCGCGCGCTCGTCGCCCGTTGCCCGCCTCCTGTGCGCTCTTTCGCGCGCGGCCCGCCTCGTGCGCGCTCGTTACCGCGCTGCCCACCTCGTGCGCGCTCCTTGCCCGCCTCGTGCGCACTCCTTGCCCGCCTCGTGCGCGCTCCTTGCCCGCCTCGTGCGCGCTCCTTGCCCGCCTCGTGCGCGCTCGTCGCTCGTTGCCCGCCTCCTGCGCGCCCTGCCCGCCTTCTGCGCGCTCCTTCCCGCCTCGTCCGCGCTCGTTGCGCGTATCGGCTGCGCTCTGTCTGTCCGATGCTGATCCCCGCCTGCTTGCCCGCCTACTGCCCGCCCGCTGCGCGCCTTCTCTCTTTCTAGATACTTTTCCGTTCGCTGCTTCATTTTTACGCCCGCTGGCTCCCTCCCCTTCCCTGACTTGTTGCCGCAAGGCCATGCTCCTTCTTTGACGTTGCTCTGTTCTCCTCACTGGTTTTCACTCTCCACGAATTTATTTACTTTGACCACGTGCCCCTCGACTAAGTCCGATTATATTTCCACGTCTTTATTATTCAGAAGTAGCAGCAAAATATAATTTTATTCATCTTGATTTTCATTGTAAGACATAAGCGGGGTATCAGAGACAGATCTCCTACACGAGAAGCAGAATCGCGCTACACAAATCACTCGTACAGAGTATCGAGACCCTCCAGCATCCACGACACGTCCATCACGCACTTTTCCCACTCCCTCCGCGAATCATCCGTGTGGGATTCAGCCGTGCCCCAAAAGTAGAGTCCGGCCACAAAGCTGACTGTCCCATTTAGGCCTGAGCAATCGAGCCTACCCCAGTCTGTTCCATACTCTCCCCCGACCACCCAGCTGCCGTCGTCGCGACGTTTCCTCCACTTGGGCTGCATCTCGCCCCACCAATTCTTCCACTTTACCGCATACGCCTCGATATTCGTCACGGTGGGCAAATTCTTCATCTTCACCCCGCGTCCTCCCCTGATCCATTCCTTGATCTCGGTAGGCCGTGTCTTCGACCGTCCCAGCGGCTTCTCCCCATCAGAGTCGGCGGATTCCTCCAACCTCACCAGAGCTTGAAGCAGCGCGGTATAATGGCACCCCAGATCACGCGTCGTCAGGTACGAGAGTGTTTCCCTTAACCAGCCCGGCGAGTCCTCGTCAAACTTGAGGCACACCGCTCTGTCACCACCGCCTGTAGCGAGCACGACTGTCGGCGGATCCGGGGCCGAGCTGGCTGACGTCGAGAGGGGGGTAATCGCAGTGGGTGTCATGCTGGCGGACGCGGGCGTCGGTGAGCGTGGCGCTACCGCACCGGAGGTCGATACTACAGCGGTGGAGTGTGCGCTGGACGCGGACGGCGTGGCCACCGGGCTCCCCGGGGTTTCAGCTGGAGGGGTTGGGCGCGCTACGGGCGCCGACGCTGATGGCGCCAGCACCGAGCTCCCCCCGGACTGGGATGCAGCGGCTGGGCGTGCTATTGGCGTCGACGGCGGGGGCTCCGATGTGTTTAGTGTAGTGGAGAATGGAGGAAGTGCATCCGGCCCAGTGGATGAGCTAACAGAAAATGACTGGTCGCCGTCTCCGTTTAGGCGTCGCGACTTGCGCGCGGGGGCAGAATCATTCCCTGCCGGTTTCCGTTTCCTCGGCTGCGGCGTCGGCTTCTTTTTCGCACCGAGGACGGCTTTCCACTGCTCCTTCAGCGGGGCCAGAAGCAGCGCATTTCGCCTCGCCGCCATCGCCTGCTGCCTCCCATGCGCCCCGCCCCCGTATAAATTGCGCTCCGCCTGCGTCGGCACGAATAATGATTCAGGGTCGCCAATCTTCCATTCTGCGGGCGCTGGAGTCTCTTCTTCGCCTTCCTCGTCCGAGTCGACCGCTTTCGAAGCCTTTGCAGCTTTCCCTTTTGTCGTCCTGCTTCGTTTGCGCGCGGGCTTTTCCGTGTCGTCTGAATCGACATTTGAATCAGACTCCGAGTCGGATGAACCGGATGAGTCGTCGGTCAGATCGTCCTTGTCAGGCAAAAGGGTGTACTTTGCCCCCGATAGATCGGCTTCTGTTGGTAGCGCCGCTTCCGCTCGCTCCTGTGGACCTACGAGAATGGCGATCAGTAAACACACTCTGTCGGCTGAGGGACGTATAATTACTGAAAGCAGTCGTCAAGTATTCCTTCATCAGATCTGTAACAACATTGAAGCGTTGGTTTGCCCATTCAGGAAAATGTCCGCCGCCCGCTGTTGTCTTGTTCCGCCCATACGAGGCACTGCAGGTTTGTTAGTGATGATGGTAAGGAAGGCTAAGTCTCTCGTACTAGACAGTTTTCAGTTCGCCCCCGTACTTGGGGATGGGACCGCCCATCAGGAAGCAGCAGTGCAGGCCTGTGCGGTCGAATATTCCTTTCATGATGGGCCCAAGGAATTTCCCCACTGTCTCGATGCATCTGGAGGTATCGCTCGTCAGCATGCGCACACCACCCCTTCCGCTGCCACTTACTTATCTCTGTCTTCGGCAGCCTTGGACGGGGGCGCCTTCATGGCAGTCTCGTATTTCTCCTTCGCGTCGGCAGCTTCTTGCTTCGCACGAGCAGCGTAACCGTCCCGCTCGGCTTGCGGCAGCTTAGCGAAGACGTCCCGAGCCACTTTAGCTCTGAACGGGCCTCCCGGATCCTTAGCCGTTTGGATGTTGCTCCCCTCGCTGGCTTCCTTTTTCCAGAGTTCATCCACAAGAGGAGCGATTTTCTCGTCGTAAGCTTCGTGCATAAATTGCTGATACGCCTGGCGTGCTTTAGGAGGAGCCTTGATACCCGCTAGTTGCGCCACCAGGAGAGACCACGGGTCTTTAAGTGGGTCGATCTTTGACTGGAAGCCTTTGCGCAGCCGGCGCACGCGGTACTTGAACCATCGACGAATACGCTGAACACCGAGGCAGGAGAGATGAGTCACGGTCACGTGC